TATATATTATATATTTGTAGGAGCCCGCACAGGAACGTGTACGTGTTTACACTATACAACAAAAGTATTGATGCATTGTAGACCGGATATGGCTGGACTATGCTAAGCGACAACAGTCAATAAACTGTACTATATATATGTATGTAATTTGTTTTTGTTTTATATAGAGAACGTTGCTTTAACATTTGATGTAATTGCCATCGTTTATATTGATTAATAACACGCTTAATGATATGTTGCATCTTTATGTAGTATATATATGTATATATATTCATGTATATATGTATAATAGAGTGTGAGTAAGCATAAACATTTTGCCTAAAAATTCGTTAAATTTATATWTATCGTTCATATGGAATTTTCTTTAATATTTCTTAAATTTTTGTTCGTCTTCTTCTTCTTCAGCATCATCATTTTTTGATATCTTTAAAATTGGTTGTTCAGTCAATCAAGAATTGATACGATTTCGATTTAAATTTTGGTTTTTTAGCAAAGTTTCTAGTTTGATTTTGTTGTTTGAAGATAAATGCAGCTGTTATTGTGCTTATTTATTTGTATTCATATATATATTCATATATGTATTCATATATATATAGATAGACATATATGTACATCTATCGTATACTATATAGAATCAGAATCGCCTATTTTTGGTGCGCTTGTTGCGCTTAACTGTAAAAGTTGTCGCGCTGCTGATATAACGGCAGTGGTTCACTTGGCGACTCCGAGCGGCGCTCCTCATCGCTGCCTGGCTGGCCGCCTTGTCCATTGGCCGACTTCGACATGGCTTTCTCTGTGAAGAGATAATACAGAATATATTTATAGAAAATTGAATTACATTCAAGTTCGAGTCCAAAAAACCTTCCCAAGCGTGCTGTAAAAAGTTGGATGGAAAAATGTCGGTAGAAAACCTTTTTTCATATATGAGTTAATAATATATATGTCTTGTTTGTTTGGAGTATTTGTGTTGTTGTTGTTGGTATTGTTGTTGCTGTTGTTGGCAAATTCTCTTATTAATGCTGTTGTATTGTATTTGTTGTTGTTGTTGTGGCAGTGCTTTGTTGCTATTGAGCGTATACTTACTCGTCTCTTGAGCTTTGTTCGACTGATTAGTTTGTGTTTTTGTATTCTCAAATATTTTACGCAATTTTTGCAAGTGCACAAATTTGGTTAAATTATCTTTGAACTTAGCTAAGCTTGCAATATTTATAAGGAGCTTCCTCAAAGAGATTAATAAAAAGCTATTGCTACTATTTGTTTGACGGCTGTTCAGAAACTGATTTTAAATAACTATTTGAGAATTTCTTTTGACTTATCGCGGCATGAAAATTTACGACACTTTTTTCAGTGATCAGTGAATCTGTTACTGATTTTTCCGTGAGAGTTTTTCTTTGCAATCTATTCTTAACAGATGAAATTCTTTTTTTTTATTTCTTTTTTCTTATTTTTTTAATTTAGTTTATATTTGGTATTTTTATGAGTACAGTATACATTTCACATTTAAATTGTTATTAAAACCAAGAGTAAGTTAAATAAAGACGAAATATAAATCAATTTAGGCTAATTGAGTTGCATAGGCAACAATTAATCAGGATCAATAACAATCTGCCTGGCTGATAATAATCGGGAAGCTGACCTTGAAGGCATTATAAGTCGACATCTTATCATCTTCACCTCTTCATATACTACGATGTCTTGTTCACATTTGTTCAGCATCTGTGAATATTCACTCACTTCTCAAGAGGGAACTCAAACTTTGCTCTATTTTATCTAGACACCTCTTGATTTCATCTTTCACTTAAGTCCTGTTCTCCTCTATTCCCATGCTTTATACTTCGAATAGATTTGCACTGTGTTGTGTTTTATTTTGTTTTTGCTTTCATACAATTTCTAAAGTGCCTTTTGGTGTTTCTCTACGGACTCTATAATTGTTTGCTCTTGTGTATGTGTGTGTGTATGTATGCACGTGTCTAGGTGTGTGTGTGTGAGTGTATTTACGTCTTTTAGTAAAGGTGTTCATATTTTTTCCATATATGATTTTATACATATACATATATGTTTTGATGCTTCTTATATTACAAGCGCGTGCGTGCTGATTAGTAAGGCCAATTCAAAGCTAATAACTAAGATTTCCAAATAAAGCTGAGTATAATAAAAATATATAGCTATATATATTTGCATATATATTATTATATTTATAAGATTAATGCATGATTAAATTATTAAATAAAACATGTGTACAAACCTTGACTTACGCATTTGTTTAACTGTTGTGCTTGTTGTTGTTGTTGATTGTACTTGTTGTTGTTGTTGCAATGGCTTAGTTGTTGTTGTCGTTTAGTATTTTGTGATTGCTTTGAATTGATTTTTGTTTTTTTTTTCTTTTTTTTTTTTTAGTGAGCTTAGCATGCGATAATCTCAACGTCGCGTGAGTTCTTGCTGTGCTGTTGTTGTTGTGGTTGTATGTAATGTAGTTGTTGTGGTTGTTGTTGTTGCTGTTGCTCTTATTGTATATAGTTTAAGTGTAGCATATGCATATGTAAGTCGAATTACATCACATATTTGGCCCATTTCTTTCGTCATTTTCTTTCAACTCAAACAAATAACACAAAAAATGTGAACAATTGGTAAAACAAAAACATAAACAACACGACAGGCTATTAAATGGAGTTAGTTGTGACTAGTGGGATTGCCTAAAAAATATGCAAAAAATAAAAAAAATTAACAAAATAAAAATTAAATGTAAAATATGTTCGTAAATAAACACAAAAATAATTTATATATATAATTTTTTTCAACAGCTTTACATTAAAATTGTTGTAGTTAAGTCAAATTAAAATGTTATTTAACATGAACTGTAAAGTATTTAACATGAACTATTGAACGCGGCGTATACGCAATATATATGAAAATTCATAGTATTCAAACAATTTTTTTATTGATATTATTCTTAAAGATACAGTTAAGATAGGTGCTATATGCATGATTGGTTTATGTGGGGCTTGTTTCATATGTCTGGGAGTATGATCAATTGTGACTGTGGACGAGTATATGTATTGTGTGTTCTTGAAGTGTCTGTGAGTGGATATTAATATGAATGTCGTACGCCTTTCGATGAGCTCGCAATGAGATGAGAGTGATGGAATTGGATATTGAAAGGAGAGAGGCGTAACAGTTCATAGATGTTATATGCATATGATATGTATTCATTAATCGTCTAGAAAATTAGAAAAAGTTGAGAGAGAATATATATATAGTTAGATTAGAAGAGCATAGAGACAGTTTTGAATGGGGTAAACACAGTCTTGTGATTCAGCGCTGTTATGATATAGAAACACACTGAATCAACGCTTAAATACATATACAATAATACATATAGAAACATATATAAGACGTAGAAATGTACATATTTATATTTATATGTGAGTGGCTTGGAATGTGAACAAAAAACGATTTGGAGCGGATTGCTTATTAGTAGAAAGGGAAAACATAAACATGGAACATAAACTCAACTCGCAAGCAATGTAAAACTTTTAAGGATGTTCCGCGGACATCGAAACAAATTCAACTCTGATGTTCCTTATCTTATGATAAAACATATAGTACTGATGCTATGCGTTCTGCTTTACATTTACGTACCGGCAACAATTTTGCTGACTTGCATGACTTGCTGGGCCAAAATTTGATTCAGCTGCAGCAAATGCTCGCGCTGCTTCTTCTCCGCATTGATCTTGCTGGCAGGCAGCGTTTCGTTCTCCTGGAGGGGGAAACAAGGGAGCACAATTTATTATTAAATAAGTAAATCAGTAAAAATATTTATATATAAAGTCTTTGCTTACATTGCTGCTAATGGGCGCTTCAGCGAGCATCTTTTTAATGGACTCGACCTTCTCCTGGCGACGCTTCTTCTCCTCAGGCGACAATTCGGGCGTCTAAAGAGAGAGAGTGAGAGAGAATGAAAAGTTATATTTATTATGATACTCTCCAATATTCATTGAGCTTCACTCACTGTTTCTGGTATGTAACGCTCGGGTATGACTATCTTATTGGGCGCCAGCAGCAAATTGTCAATGGTATTCTCGGAGATCTTCTCGCCCTGGCCCAGAGCTGAGCGGACCACATCGGGCGCATTCATGCGTGGACGCAACGCCACCTCCATGTCCAGATCATCACGTGCGCGCCAGTTGGTGTTCTGCAGGGTAAAATGCGTTATATAAGTATGGGAGAGACTACGGACTGAGTGACGACTCACATTGCGATTCATATCGTTCTCGGCCTGCACTTTCTCCATGGCCTTCTGGTTGACATTATTGGGCGCCGTGTAGTGTCGTCGCTTCTCACGGGGCACAGCGCGTCGGTGTTTGTGTGGCGGCGGCACTCGCTCCACAATCTTCTCTGTATCCTCGGAGGCGGAGCCAGCGGACATTTCATTGATGATCTGGCGAGCGGCCACACTCTGGAACACCGGCTCAGGGCTAATGTCTGTTAGGCTCTTGTTGAGACTCTGCAGCGACTCGGTCTTGGTGCGCAGCGCCACGCGTGCGCTGTCCCGGCTGGGATGGGCCTGCTGCTGCAGCTGCTTGGCAAAGTATGCGTTGGCCAAAGGATTCAGATGCTCGCGCTGATGCTGCTGCTGCTGCTGATGATGGTGATGGTGGCCATTGCTCTGGGGCGCTGGCGGCGGCGGTTCCTCGTGCTCGTAGTTGCTATTGCGATCATAGTCGGAGCCGCCGCCATTGAAGTGGTGTCCGTTCTGCTTGCCATTCATGTGGCGACTGTGCCTGGGCTTTGGCGGCTCGTTGTAGCTGCGTGGCAAAGACTTGGACCGGCTGTGATGGCCATTGCTCATCTGCTCCTCGAGGCTTTGGGCATACTGCTGCTGCTGCAGCTGCTGGGCGTATTGCTCCTCCTCCAGCACCTGGTCGAGATTCTGTGTGGAGTTGCTCAGGCCACGCTCGCTGCGGTCGCGATGTCGCCGCTCCGACTCCCGCTTAACAATGCGCACCGTTTTGATCTCCTGCTTCTCCAGATTGCTCAGATTGGCAAAGGGATTGCTGTCCAGGAAACCATCGCTATCAACGCCGCTCAGCTCCAGAGCATCGCTGCTGCCATTATAGCGATTGTAGTCGCCCAACTTGGCGCTGCTATTGGTGTCCACGTAGAGCGGCGTCGACAGATTCAGCGTGGAGTCATTCAGATGCTGCTGACTGCCATTGTGCAGCATGTTGGCATCCAGATCGGTTTCGGTCCAGCTGCTCGAATTGCTGCGCTTCTTCAGGCTGCCGTTCGAGTTGCCCGTTCCGTTCGTCGGACTCAATTCCTTGTTGCCGATTTCCTGATACAAACGCGTCGAGTTCTCCGTCAACTGTCGCACGGCCGAACTCAGCTCATGCCGCTGCCGCTGCATATCCCCCACCAGAGATTGCACCCGCTCCAGCTCCGACTGCAGCACTGCTGCCGTCTGGTTGCCATTCAGCTGGCTGGCATCGCTGTTGGCGCCGTTGCTGCGCGTCGACTGCACCTTCTGGCGCAGTGTGAGCAGCTCCTGCTCCAGGCGAGCATTGCCCGCCACAGTCTGCTCCAGTTTCTGTAGGCCATAAATGATATGATGAATGTTTAAATTAAAGTTCTTTGATTGAGTTTATGGCACATGCAGCAGTTTGAATTGATAAGCGAAACGTAGAAGTTTTTTGCATCATGAGCTATGCCTAGGCCCTAGAGGACACTAATTTGTTTTTTTTTTTTTTTTTATTTACATATAACAAACGAATAAAGCCAGGAAGGAATTTCATCTAAAATTTTCATAATTTTTCTTACTTTTTAACTGCATTTTTTTTTTTCAAATTTTATTTCTGTTTTGCTACTACTACTAAACTTGATCAAATTTCAAATATTTTAATTTAAATAATTTTGTTTCAATATTTTTGCAGCTTTTGTTTAGTTACTGAATTTCTAAAAATATCTCATTTCCGTCACTAATTAAACATGTTTTGTAAAAATAATACAAGAACTTTTCATATGTCATAATGAACTATTTTTGTATAAAAATATATATATGTTAAATTATGGGACAACAGAAAATATATAACTAGTTCTGGATCTAAACCTAAATTAATCATCACTCTTACAATTAAAAAAATTCTCAAAATTCACTGTTCAAATCTCAGTCGACTTTCAATGAATTACAATGAAATTCGAAATTTATGATTATTTCAGTTATTTCTGTAAATATTTTGCGTAACTCCATATAGAGGAAATTGTAACGGATATCGATTTAGCCCTTATGCAAATCGACACAAAGCAGTTAGTTAAATATTTATATGTTTTTTGGTTGAATGAGTTCTCATTAGTTACATAAGCGACATGCGAAGCTGAAGCAGACGAAAACTAGACATACATACATATATATTCATATACATATGTCTGACACATATAATGCAAAAAACTTCTACTAGGCACCTGGGCTACCTTAGAGTTCTCGGCGAGCAGTTGATGCACACGCGATAGCTCGCGCTCCAGTATATGCTGCTGCTTCTTGGCCGCCTCCAGGGCCATGGGCGTGGCATTGTTGTCGTGTATGCGTGCCCGTAATCCGCCCAAGGCGCGCTCCAAATCCTCCTTGTCACGCTGCAGGCTCTGCAATACGCCCGACTCCTCCTGCAGCAGCTGATCCAGCTGATAGAGCTCTCGCACCTTGGCCTGAGGAAGAGGCGAAGCATAAATATAATATGTGCTTGAGATTCGGAGCATTCAGTTTTTGCATTACCTGCAGCTCTGTCTGATTGGGACTGAGTCGATCCCATTGCTTCTGCTCCTCCTGCAGCATCTGACGCTCCTGCATGCGCTGATTGAACTCCAGCCGATCCATGGTCGCCGGCTGAGCACGGCCATTGGCATCGTTGCGATACAACGAGCCCAGCTTGACCATATTGTCCACCAGATTGACCAGCGGCTTGCTCTTCTCATACTGCCGCTCCAGGTCCAGCAAATGCTGCTTCAAGTAGTCCAAACGCTGTATGCTCTCCGCACGCGTAAGTCCCTCGGCGCCGCGCAGCCGATTCTGTGGAGAGTTGCAATTGATAGTGAGTAAAGCTCGAATGGACAGAGTTTTAACAGTTAAGAGTTAACAGTTAACAGTTAAAGTTCGAATTTTAGTCACAGGAATAGCCAACACCAGTTAGTCAACAGCCAGCACCCATTTGAATGGAGTTCACAATTGTTTAACCACCTGCACATTGTGAATGTCGCTGCAGCACTGCTCGATGGCTCGCGCCGTTTGACTGCTCTGCCGTCGCAGTTGAATTAGCAGCAGCACCAGCTCCTCGTGTGTGCGACTCAGTAAATCGCCAGCCGATACATCCAGATTCTGTAGTGTTTGTCAAATCAATCAATCAGTCAATCAATAAATATGCCTCTAAAAAGTTGTAATCTAGTAACTTTTCGGGGACTGCCGCAAGTTAATAAAAATACATTTCGATACGCAACAGCCCTCTCAAGTCCTTGGGCTCTCACTTATCACCCATGAAAATATTTCACTGAGCTGAGTTGGGCAGGAATAATCCCTCGCATAGGGAAAAATACCAAGAGCCAATATCGAATAGCCGGAATGAATTGAAATACGATAAGTTTTGTTTCCACTTTATGGCAAATAACTGTGATAGCTGTGATGCTTCGCAGCTCTGATGGCTTGAACTGCCTGTCAATCAGGAATGCACATGGCCACTGTTTGCAGTTATGCTGCACCAGGCTCTCTCTAGGTCGAATAAAAAAAGAAGAGAAACTAGCAAATATTTATGCCCCACTTACCCTTATCTGTGAGCTCGTCTCACGCTCCAGCATATCAATTTCAGCTCGACTGCCAGCACGACGCATGCCAAACTGCAGTTGTTGCTGTTGTTGTTGCGGCGTCGATGTGGCCATGGCTGCTGAACGACCGTACAGACCGCGATCTGTCAGGACTGTGGCCTTGGCGTATTTGGTCTCCGTCGCATTGCCATAGTAGGGATCATAGTGGGCGAATGCCGATTCGTGCGGCTGCTGCTGCAGTTGCAGTGCATCCGATGGGTCCGGTTTGACGGTTAGATTGCCTTTGGGCAAATTGTTTACGTTGCGCACCGAAATCGAGGCTGCAAATTGAAATGAGAGTTAGCTCTGGTGCTGATTTTATGGACGTGGCAGGACATGTAATTATTATGCGTGCGCGAAATAATTAGAGAGAAAGCATTAAAACAGAGTTAAACAGCGGAACTTGTTTTGTATTTCGTCTACTGTCAGCTAAATACATTGTTGGCAGGGTATACAAGCTGTCAGAGGCGAGCACTACGTAGTCAAAGCGTCTAAAGAGCTGTTCATCAAGCTGTTTGCAAAACAAATTTCAACTGCCCGCAAAAGTATGCTACAGTTTTTTTGTTGGCTGCATCTAAAAAAGTCGACTGTACAGCGTGTATACAAATATAAGTGAGTGTGTGTGTGTGTGTGTGTGTGTGTGTGTGTGGGTGTGTGTGGTAAGAAATGAGTGTGAATATGAATATGAGTATTTACAAGCGCATTAATAATTACATAAGTGTAGGAACAAGTCATGTATGTATCTATGTATATATGTATATTTATATATGTATATAAAGAAAATTGCTTACCATCTTGTTAATGGAAGAAAACAACACAACAATAATGACAACAACAATAACAAATAACAATAAACGAAAGTGAAAACAAAAAACAAGCAACAAACAATTTTAAATGAAATACAGGCCTCATGCGGCTTACTCCACGCTCACTCTTTCTATTTGACACGCTCCCTCTCTCTCTCTCTCTCTCTCTCTCTCTCTCACACACACCCTTTTCTATTTACAGCTTATGCCTCTTGCAAAGAATTAACCTCAAGAACTGCGCAAATATTCGTCAAATTTAACAATTGTCACATATTTCTAAGCGGCTAACGCTGCGTATGCGTAATGCCTCAATTGTTCCTCTGCGCCGCATTCACAATGGCATTGGCATTGCCATTGCCATTGACATCATTGTTCCCATTCAGCTGCTGTATGATGGAACGCACATTGCTTGTCAGCGGCAGCATTGGTCCACTGGAGGCAGGCGTTCTGGGCGTGGGCGTGGCCGTCGCTGTGGCTGTGAGCTCTGCATTGTTATTGCTCTTCATGAGGCCACTCGACATGGCATCCCACTGCCGGATGGTCTCGCGATCCAGCTCCTGCGACTTGTGCGACAGATTGGAGCCCGTTTCGGCGCGCAGCACCTCATAGACATCCGCATCGCTGACCTGGCTCATGCCCGAGCTATTCGCCAGCAGCTGCACATAGACATCGTGCTCGTCGTGCGAGGCCGACGAGGGAGGCGACGCTGCCGGCGGCTGACGCGGCGGCGGCTTCTGGCAATCGTTCACGTAGGTCACCTCACGCGTGAGCTTCGTCTTGGTCGCCTGGCTGCTGGGCATGGTCATGGGCGCTGGCGTCGGTATGGGCAAGGTGGGCGCAGCCACTGCTATGCGATCCAGATCATCCAGGGAGCGCGCATGACGTTGCGAGACGCGCCGCAGGCTCTCCCGCCACAGGGCATCCTCCTCCCAGAGCAGCTCGCCACCTAGAACTGAGAGTTGATTGGCGTTATTCACTGTGGTGTTCACTGTGGCTGTCGCTGCCGCTGCCGTCGGTCTCTTGTCCAGGCCCTGCTCAGCTCCACCCAACCCAACCGAACCCTCCGCCTCCTCCTCCTCCGCCTCCGCCTCCAAGTGGCTACCACCAGTCAGTTTACGAGCGAGATTTGTGTTTTTAGTAGTTGTAAGATATGAATGAATTGGGTTTAATGAATGACTCTCACTACCCTCGCCGCTGCCCAGCTCCGCTGACTCCAGCTGCACGTTGTTCAGCTTGATTAGGTTCTTATTGCAGCTGTAGCTCAGCTTCTCGACGTTCGCCTTCACGCTGTACAGATTCTTGCTGTCGATGGCCTGATCCTTGTCCACCAGTGCATCCATATTGAACTGCAGCCTATCGATGGGATTGTGTATGTGCGCTATGTTCAGCCCGTGGGCGTGGATCTCACGCTGATTATTCAGCTGCGGCGGCGCAGGCAACTCGGAGTAATAATACGGCGCCGATTGCGTGGAGATGTTACTATTGTTTCGACTGTGCATGGGGGTGAGGCGGACTGCGCCCTCGGCGCCCGTGCTGCCCAGGCTGCCCAGCTGCTGTATGGAGTCCGTGGAGGAGAGAAAGTGTATGTTGCCATAGAAATTCTGCTCATCGCCATCCGCGTTGCGGAACGTCTTCGGTGGCTTGATTAGATTGGTGAGGATGTCAGCGCCTGCGGCGGCATTCGCATCGTTAAGCAGGTGTCGCGTGGGCGTGGCATGTGCCTGATAGGGCAGCAGGTCGCTGGTCTGCAGGTGACTCAAATACGTATCCAGCTCATGGCTGCTCAGCGTCTCCTCAAAGTGCTCGCTCATCGACTCGATCTCACTGATCGACTCCTGGGAGAGCGGACGCCGCGAGCGCTGGCGCTCCAGCTCAGAGTCGGAGCGCTGGCGGAACTCAACGGACTCGCTCTCGCTGGGCAGCGAGTTGTTGCTGGGCGGCCGCTGCTGCAGCTTGCAGCGGAACAACTCTAGATCGGAGGAGGTGCGCGATGAGCTCTTGTCCGTCTGGCAGCTGTAGTTGGAGTCGGACAAGGTGCGCGCGTGCTGCTGCTGCAGCAGCGTCAGGCCAGAGCCGCTCGAGCTCGAGCCGGCTGCCCTCGCCGTGGCCCGGCGCTGCTGCTGCTCCGGCGTGCCACGCACCTTGGCGAAGTGATCGGGCAGAGAGAGGCGACTGCTCTTCAGCGTGGTGCTCGGCTCTGTCTTGGGCAGATTCAGCGAGGTGTTGCTGGCGTGCATCTTGGGCAGCTGCTCATAGGACAGATGCACTTTGCTGTCGCGCCGCCTCACCGTGTCATAGTGCTCCGAGGAGAAGATCTCCTCCGTCTTCAGCTCCTCCATGGGAGGCGGCGAGTCGGGTATGGGCGGCGGCGGCAATATCTCGCTGTCCGARCTCTCCGCATAGTTGTTGAGGGGCGTGGAGGCGCCCAAGTAGTATGATGCGGGCCTAAAGGTATCCGACAGGCTGAAACGCGTCCGGGAACGTAGTCGCTTGGCCTCCATCTGCTGTTTGCTGCTCTCGTCATCCGCATCGGAGCTGTCACTGGCCAGCGCGCTCTTGGCCGGCTTCAATATATCCGGCATGTCTTTGCCCTGACGTTTTTTGGTCTTCTTCTTCAATGTTTCCGTTCCGTTCTTTTTGGTCTTCTTTAGCGTGGAGCGACCGGATGAGAAGTGGGCCTCCTCAGCAGCAGTTGTTGCTGCGGTTGCAGCTGCTGCGACCGCTGCTCCTGCTGCTGAAGCTCCTGCTGTTCCAGCTGCTGCTGCTGTTGCTTTGACGCCTGCCAGTTCCATGTAGACGGGCTCTGTGTGGGCCAGCTTGACGCTGCTGCTCGTCAGGGCGCTAGATATGCACATAATCTCATAGTTGCTCCTATTATCGTCGTCGTGCAGGCCTTTGGTCATTTCCACATAATGATTCTCCTCGTCCGCCTCGTTGTAGCTCTCGTGCGTCGCCACCAGACTCAGGGTGCCCGACTGGCCCAGCTCCACCTTTTTGGGCGTCATGGGCAAATAATGGCTCTCGTCTAACTGCTGATCCGTGGGCGTAATCGGCTCATTTACATAAAGCTGCTGCAGCTCCTTGTCACTCGGTAAATTGGCATTCGCGCTGACTGGCGGCGCCCCATCGATAGCAGCAGCAGGCGCAGCAGCAGAAGAAGCATCCGCATCAGCATCAACATCATCATCGTCATCGTCGTCCTGTGCCAGTGCCTCGTCTATGTCATCATCAGTGTACTCTTCACATGCAGTGCTCTCATCTTCTTCATCGTCCTGCTGCTGCTCCACCTCCATCTTCTCCTGCTGCTGCTGTATTTGCTCTTGCTGTTTCTCCATCTGTTCGTCACCCTCTTTAGCTATAGCTGCCTCGCCCAGCCCAGGCTTGGCCTCTGCTGTGGGCGTTAAATCCTCTTCGGACTGTTGCTGCTGCTGCTGTTGCTGTTGCTGCTCTTTGTACAGCTTCAGCTGCATCAGCATGGGCGTCTCCTCGGCATCACTGATGACCGCCTTGGCATACTCCACATTCTCGTAGTTGCTGCTGACCAGCTTGTTGCTATAGACGGGCACATAGTTGACATTCTGCGGTGATTTGGGCGCCGTCTTTTTCGGCAAAATGGGCACCGGCTGCTCGGCTGCCTCAGTTGGCTGCAGCTGCAGCTTAAGCTTGGGCCGAAGTGGCAGCTGCTGCCCCAAGCTGCTGGGCTGTACCTGAATAATGGGCGTGCGGCTGGCCTCGTGCACCTTGAGTATGGGCTTGAGCTGAAAAGTTTGGCTGTTGGTAGCCTTTGTCGTTGTTGCAGTTGCAGTTGGTGCTGTTGTTGTTGTTGTTGAGTTGTTTAAATTTGAGCTAAGGCTAACATTTGATAGTGTAGTTGTTGCTGCTGTTGTTGTTGTCTCTGCTATTGTTATTGTTGTCATTGCTGTTGTTGTTGTTGTGTTTTGTGTGCTAGATGTTGTTGTTGCTGTTGTTGTTGTTGACCTTCCTGCCGTCACACTTATGTTATCATCCAGCCCAGGCCCAGCTGCGCTTTGTGCGTTTTCTCTTTCTTTATCTTTTTTTTTTTTAACATTTACAACATTTACAAAAAATTTTCAGTAACCAAAAAAAAAAAAATGTATACACAGAAAAATGGAAAAGAAAGTTATATAAAAATAAATTTTTTTAATATTTTTTTTTTATTTTTTTGTGTTTAAGTTTGGAGCCCATGTTTTGAGTTTTGAGTTGGGTTTTAGTGCGAAATTTACAGCGGCTTTTAGTAGACGAAACACCAAGCACCCAATTTCCATGAATTGATGAAAACATTTTTAAGAACCAAACTACTCAAAGAAATTCAACAGTCTCTCAACTAAGATTTACTTATTCTTATTTGTATATTTTACTTCGGGTGAATAAAGTAAAAGTTTCAACAAATTACAGCACATGAAGAAGCCAAACTGAAATGTTTCTGGTAAATTGCAAATTTTCTTACTTGGCCCAGCAAAAATCGTTGCCTACTTTTAGGCTTGGGCTGTGGACAACATGTGAGCTCAGACAACCGATTTATTCAACATTTGTTTAACTTAATTGCCAATGAATAAATAATTATTTGAGCATTTGAGCACTCACATTATGTATTTATGTATGTGATTGAGTGTGTGTGTGTGTCTGTGTGTGTGCGCACGGCAGGAAGGTTTTTGTTTCATTTGATGTTTGTACATTTGGAATTTATTATATAATTGCATTTTGTCTCTGCTGCCATTGCATAATGCAAATTAATTAAAACATTCAAAATGTAACTGACAAAAACAAAATTAAATATATGTATATATTCTACAGCTTGTTTGTTTAGTTTGGCATCGAAAATATGTATAAGTAGGCATGCAAATGGTTAAGCAGTAAACAGTTAGTAGTTAATAATAGTTTGCGCAGAGTGTTACTTAGAGCTATCGATACGAAACGGCAGCTACTTAGCTTAAAGTAATTTTAAGGTATAATTATTAAAGTTAAAGCTCGAAACTACTCGGCAACACAGTTGCCAGCTTAATCACAGATATTCACTACGCTACAGGCAATAACAAGTAAGAAAGCTCTAGTCGAGACTGCTCGACTACGAGATCCCCTGAACCCTTGGAGCAATAGATATTTCCATCATTTTTCGCGTCTTTCAGCTTACACAAGAAACACGCACACACACACACACACAGGCACGTACGCACACACAGGCACACATACACACACACGCATACAGACACACATACACACACACACACGCATACACACAAACGCATACACACACACATACACACACACACATACACAAACACATACCCACACAAGCACCCACGCATAAACACGCATGGGCTGCAGTGTGCGCTTACTATGAGAACTTAATNCGATTTTTAATGATAAACTTGATATGCGCGCTGTAATTACGGACATTTTAAAAAAAATTTGAAGTCTCTAGCTCTTATATCTTCTGAAATCGACGCGTTCATACATACGGACGGATGGACGGACGGACGGACGGACGGACGGACGGACGGACGGACAGACAGACGGACAGGGCCAAATCGACTCAGCTCGTCGCCCTGATCAAGAATATATATACTTTGTGGGGTCTGCCACGCCTCCTTCTGCCTGTTACATACTTTTAACAAAACCATTATACCCTGATTTCCCATTTTCAATGGGTTCAGGGTATAAAAAGGGGACGGGGGAGTTGAAATACAAAACAGAATTATACGCTTAACCAGAATGAGCCATAGCCAGCTAAATAGTACACTCAAAAAAAAAAAGCGTGTGTAATTGTAGACAAATTGTAACTGACTGAGTTTTTAACTTTTTGGTAAATAAAATGGAGAATTTACAATGTTTTCTAACAATTATATGGAAAATATTTAAATGTTCCTTTTTTTTTTAAGATATTCAAGCATATCTATCTTTAAATAGATTATGTTTTAAAAATTTCATGAATATATAAAAATAATGTTTTTTTTTTTTAATTTCATGTATTAAAATGTTATATTTTATTGAATTTTTAGGAAGTAATTCCCAAGAACTTTCTATTGTAAGGGAGCAAAATATAGATATCAATGATTAAGAATGAGGAAAATGAAATGTATATAAAAATGAGAATTTATTTATATCTATTTCTATCCTTGTTATTATCTTAAATTCCGCTAATTTTCAAACCAACCCTACATTTTTGTTGAGTGTACAAAATAGCCGGAGGGCGCTTCAATTGCAACAGGAGAGCAAAGCCAAAGAGCTAACAAAAGTAAAAGTACAAACTACAGCAGAACAAAGGCACAAACTGCAACGTGAGATAGACAAACAGCTAACGCGATAGAGAGAGATAGAGAGAGAATCAGACAGAGACAGAGATAGCGAGAAAGAGCGAGCGCAACAAGAGACAGAGATAGAGTAACAGTAGAGATATGTAGTTAGCCAAATAGGCGACGATAGCACAAAAAGACTTAAAGCAAAGCAAAAATGGGAGGTTCTTGGGGGCGGGGTTGGAGCATTGTGCATATATAGATATAGAGAGAAATGGAAAACAAAGTCAAGTACTCACCCTCATCGTCCGAGGAGTAGCTGTTGTAGACACCGCCTGGTCCCATATTCGCATGCGTTTCCGATCTGGAGCGCTGAATGCCCGCGGAGCTGGCGCCGGCTGCCGTTGCGCCGACAGAGCTTGTGGTTGCCGTGCCACCAGCAGCCGTGGCAGCCAGGCCCGTTTTGCCCGCCAGCGGTGCATAGCGAGCACCGCTAGCCACCGCCGTGGAGGCGAGCAATATGTTCGGATTGCTGCCCAGCTTGGACATGGCGGACATATTGCTGCCGCCCTGCTGCACGCCCTTGCGCGTTAGCGGGGACTGCAGCATGCGCTGCTTCCACTCCAGCAGGCGCTTCATGGACTCCTCGCGCTTGCGTTCGCCATCCAGCGGATTCTGCGGAGATGGCGCTGCGCCCGCTGTGGGCGAGGTGGCCAGCGAATTGTTGGCCGTGGAATAGTCGTCGTCCAGGCCGCCGTTACGCTTGGGCAGCCGGGCGCTGGCCGAGCGCAGGAACTGCTCGTTCTTGCTGATGATCTCTTGCGTGGACATCGAGGGTGGGAATATCGAGCCCGGATGCACGTTAAGCGGCGGCAACTCCTCATCCTGTGACAGCTGCTGCTGCTGTTGCTGCTGCTGTGCGTGCGAGGACACGGAACGCGCTGCAGCACCGCCGCCCGCACCCTGGCTGGCCGAGCGACTCATGCGTGGCATGCTGCATGCAGCGCTGCCCTGTGCCTGCGCCTCGGCCAGCAGCTCCTGGCGCTTGTACGCCCGCTCATAGGGATTCTCGTAGCCAATGGTGTGCAGGCCGCTGCCGAATTCGCCAGCGACGCCGCTGGCGGTGCGATAGCTGCCCGCCTGCTGTGGCTGAGCACCGCCAGCACCACCGCCGCCGCTCTGCAAGTAGAGCGCGCTCTTGCGCATCTTCTCCGCGTAGCTGGCCTCCGAGTAGTAGAAGCTGTCGGGCGTGCGATTTATGTCCAAGCTCGATTTGGGTCGAGGCGCGCGTCCTGCCTCGTGCTTACTCTGCGCCACAGCAGCGGCGGCGGCAGCCGCAGCCGCCTCGGCACGCGCCTCATACTCCAAGAAGTCGGCGGAGTGCGGACGCACGATGGCCGCAGCGGTGCGGGCGCGCAAGTCCAGGTTATTGATTAGCTGATCGGCGGCCGTTGGCTGTGGACATAAAGCAAAGAGTAGTTAGTTTAAACTGTGCCCACACACGCACACACAAGTGAGCTTTGCATATAAAATGTTGCCCCAATTGGCAAATTGGCCTGGCCTACAAGGCGGCAGCCACTGGCTGCCAGCTGCCAAAGGGCCCAGGCGCATAAATCATGCACGCGACTTATTTCCTGGCTGACCCACAAAGCAGCTGAACTGTCTGCCGGCCGCGGCGCCGCCCGAAAGGGCGCCCAAGCAGCCCATAAAGTTGCACTTCAGGCGCCACAGCCGGCAGCTGCCGCAATTGCCACAGCTGCAGCAGTTAGCGAGTGCCGCGAGTGCGCTGCATAAAACGTCTGCAATTTAGCAACCCACTGACACACTAAACTCTAATTAGTGGGCGTGCCGAGGACTTGCGACCAGCAACAGCAACTCTCCTTGCAAGCTAAAAGCTGAAAGTTTGAGATGCTCTACCTCTGATCCGCACGTAAACGGACCTCTGGTCTCTCTATCTCTATCTCTCTCTCTCTCTCTCTCTCTCTGGCATCCCTGGTCGAGGTACAAGGATTTAATGTTTCTGCATTTTAAACAAATATCTCGCTGCTTTAGTGAATCTCTATAAAAACGTGAGTTTCCTCTTCGCTGCTTTAGCGCTTTTAATCTCTCAGCTCGTTGGGTATATACAGAAGCCAGCTTCTATACAGGCTCATAAAATCTCTGCATACATATAAATGCATACCTGACTGCGTCTACATTAATAAATATTTATGTATGCTTTATATACTTGGAGCTCACTCACTCTCTCTATTTCTCTCTCTATTTCTCTCTCTATTTCTCTCTCTCTCTCTCTCTGTCTGTTCTTCTGTCTTAAAAGTGTTTCAGGAGGCGCCTTGGCATGCTCAAGGCTTTGCTTGCGCTTGCTACATCTTGCCAAATTATAAAGTACATTTTAATTTTTAATTCCCTTTCAAAGTCAACATCAAACTGAGAGCGTGCAGTCAAACTAACAAAGTTTGTATATGTGTATATACAAAGGTTGTACTTTAATTAAAAGTTTCTCAGACAAACCTAACATTATATTTGATATGTTGTAATTGAAAAAGAAATTCAACTTGAAGGAAGACATGAATGTAGCTTACATTTGAATGTTTTACCTATGCAACATTCATGATCTTTCTGAAAACTATCTGAGCGCGCCCTTTCACATTTGCAAAATTTAAATAATTGCCTTTAATTAAAAACTTTGAATGAATTTTTCCCTATTAATCATCACATTTAACAAATATATATCTACTTCCAAGTACCTCTAGCTCAGTAACTAAAAGAAATAAATATTCAAACCTCATTTCCGCTCATATATAATTTAACTAAGCCTGTAAACTATACAGACTCTTACCTAACTTAACCCTCAGCTCTCCACCATCTCTAGTTAATTTCTTTCGCTTATGCAATCGATCAAATCGAATCTGTGTGGGTGTCTGTCATACATTTAGCGCTTTCCATCAATCATTGTGTTTTGCAAGTTAATGCAAGTCAGAAACTTTTTCCATTTACCACACAGCAAACAGCAAGTTAACTTTGATGGCAGTCGAGGGAACTCTGGCAGCAATCTAGCGATAAGTTTTAAACATACGCTGAGATGAGCCCAAATATGTGTTTGGGGAGTATATATTGCAGATATAGTGCCAAAGAAGATGCACAAACTTTAAAACTAAATCAATTAACTATGCAATGCTAAAGGCTGACAGAAATATTTTGTATAATTATGAAATAAGTAAATGCGAACGCTAAGCAGTTGAGCTGTACTAAAAGAATAAAATTCTGCCCGAAAAAATAATATATATTACATATATGAAATTATGAGACTTATGAGACTTAGAGCCTTAAATTTCAATATGCTAAAAAGGTGTCATACCTCAATTCTCGGTCAGACTTAAGGCCCTCACTCGAACTTCCTCTTAATATCTCACTATATGGGCTAAAAAGGTGTCATACCTCAACTCGTTTTTGGGTAACTAAAGGAAAGTAAAATTCGCCCATTTGCCATTCAGCGTAAAAGTTGATGTTCGATGCATTGTGCTCTTGGCTTGGCCACAAGTGTTGGCCAAGTCGGCGCCTGGCTATGAGCTGGGGTAAACTTTAATTAGGCCAACCTGAGCTCGTTGCCGCGTTGCAAATGGCTGCTGCAATTGGCCCACATTGGCCAACTTTTTAGCATTTATTGGGCAAAGTTGCAGCTTCAACTGGCCAGAGGCCCGGGCAGACGATGCGTATGAGTTATTTGTGTGGAAGTTAAGAACCTACCTCCATGTGGTTGGGCGTGTAGCGTTGTGGCATGGCGGGCACATGCTTGCTGCCATCGTAGCTGGGCGGGCTGAGTGGCCGCCTGTAGCTGGCCGCCTCCTGCAGCAGTGCCTCGTGTGCAGACAGTGCGCCGCCGGCTCCTGCCAGCTGTGACATATTGTAGATATCCTCGTAGTCCGCCGCGGCAGCAGCTGCTGCGAACAGGCGCTGCTGCTTGGAACGGCCGTAGGCGTCTGGCGTGCGGCGCTCTGCCTGCAACTGTTGCTGGGTCGGGTAGGCGCCACGCTGCATCAGCTTGGCCATGTAGAGATCTCGCTCCCCGTAGATCTCCTCGACGGCACGCTGCTGCTGCAGCCGTGCTATCTGCTCCTCCATGTCGAGATGCTGTTGCTGGAACTGCGCCTCCAGGTGATCCAGCGAGTATTGCTGCTGCGCCTGCTGCAGCTGCAGCGCCGTCGACACGTGTCCGGTGCGCGTATCGTAGATGGCATGATGCTGCTGCGGCTGCTGCTGTTGATGTTGCTGCTGCTGCTGCTGCTGAGATCTCTGCTGGTACAGCTGCTGCGTGGGCGACAACATGCCGCCGGCTCCGACAGAGCCGCCGGTGGCGCCACTGCGACGACTAGGTGGCACTGGCTGCTGTTCATTGTGCTCGGGCGACGGCGAGGAGTAGCCGCCGTCGTTGATGCGGCGCGGCTTGGGCGGTGCATTGGCATACAGGGGCTGAGCTCCATTGCCGTTGCCCGCATTGTCCGAGGCGGGCGTCAGCTGGCCCTTGCCCGGCTGCGACTGCAGCGTGTGGATGCCCGAGTCCGAGTTCTCCCCGCTGTGATTCAGTGAGGAGCTGACGCTGGGCTCCGACTCGCCGCTGCTCGGCGCCTGCATGAGGCTGGCCGCCGACAGGGCGCGCACCCACTGCATCATGGCGTCGGCGCTGTCCGCGGCCAGCCAATAGGTGCGCATGTTCTGGTGCTCGCACTTGAAGGCGAACTTGCGATAGATCTTGTCCTCCGGCAGGCAGGCGGAGACGCGGTACGAGGGCAGCAGCACCGAGCCCAGCAGCTTCTCCTCCTCCGGACCCTTGTAGTAGTAGAGACAGTACTCGGCCAGCACGAACCAGCGCTTGCGCCAGACCTTGAGTCCGTCGGAGCCCTGCTTGTGCAGCCAGCCGGAGAGGGTGACGGGCGTGGTGGGCGGACGCTTGGTGATCGGAGATTTGAGCGCCTGTATGGAGCCGATGCTCTTCTTGCGATCCAGCGGCGCATGGGTGGGACTGCGCGTGGAGGCCGACGAGGACTCCTCCGAGCTGGGCGTGGGCTTGGGCTTGACCACAGTTGAGATTTGCGTCTGACAGGCCTGATTGACCACATGACCGGGATGATTCTGTTGGATGTAGACGGGTCCATGCTCGCTGCCAGGCGTTTGCTGCTCCTGCTTTTGCCGTTGTTGTTGCTGCTGCTGTTGCTGTTGCTGCAGTTGTTGTTGCAGCTGTTGTTGTTGATGCAACTGCAATTGCAATTGCTGCTGCTGCTGCTGCTGCTGCTGGGCATAGAGCTGCTCCTGATAATGTTTTGGCATTTGCTGCTGCAGCTTCAACGGACCCGAGGCAGCTTGATATTGATTAGCCAAATTAAGTGTAGACGGTGGAGCCCGCTGTTGCTGCTGTTGTTGTTGTTGCTGCTGTTGCTGTTGCTGTTGCTGCTGTTGTTGTTGCTGCTGCTGCTGTTGCAGTGTCATGTTGGACACCATGCTAGAGGATTGACTCATGTGGTAGTGGCCCGTGGGCGGATTCATGGCCTGGCGCATGGCAAACGTGCGCTGCTGCTGCTGAGCCGCCTCRCTCTGCGTGGCCAGCTGCGCCTGCATCTTGGCCTGCTGCAGCTGCTGGTACTGCGCCTGCAGCGCCGAGATGGGATGATGGCCCGCCGTCGCATTGCTCGCCTGCAGCCGCCCGGCGGCGGCCAGATACGTGCGCTCCGTGGGCGACTGATAGAGCTGGTCTCCGGTGCCGGCGCTGCTCGTGTACGACTGGTGATAGGGAGAGCTGTGCGAGCTGCTGGAGTTGCCGCCATGGCCATGATGCTTGAGCAGGCCGTGCTTGGCCTGCGGCTGCATGTCGATGGGCGACAGTGGACCGCCGCCGCTGGACGAGGTGGCCGTGGGGGACTGCTGGTAGATCGATTGCGGTGCCAGGTGGTAGCCGGCGGGCGAATGTGTCGCTGTGCGATAGTCAATCAGATTGGTTTGATAGGCCAGCGGCAGCTTCTTCTGTTGCTGGGCCGTTGCCGCCTGCAGCTGCAACTGCTGCAGCTTCTTTGGGTCCATGGTGCCGCCTGTGAAGAGCGGTGGCGCCTCCAACCTGCAAAGCAAAAAGAAGAGCAAAGAGTGAGCGAGAGAGAGTTAAAATAATGTCTGCAGCCGTCACATGGCGTTGCATCAATTAGCAAAGGTCGACGGGATTAATTCAATTGCGTGGACTACGGCGTAAGCCCTGTGCCGCAACGGGGCTTGCGCCAATTTAACCAAATCCGTGCGCTCCACACCACGGCGACGGCAACGGCGACGGCGATGGCGACCCGGGCGGCTCAGCTCGTAATTGATGGTAATTGATTGAGTGCAGACCCGACTTTGTGCACCGAGGAATGAATTTAGCGTTTGCTGGCAACAAATTTAATACACTTACCAATCCCAGAGCTGGTAAATGCAGCCAAACATGATTTCGCTTTCGTTCGGATTAATTAATTAAYGATTTAATTGGCTTTATAAATAATGCGATTGTGCGCACTCGGCCAATCGCACGTGAGTCTCCTTTTTTTCAATTTCGTTTTCCTCTTTGATTATTATTTGATTGAATGCGAAAACTCAATTACATTTTTCGTTCTCATTTTCCAAATGAAATGTGGCCAAAGTCTCTTTGTGATATTTTATTCTCCTATTTCTTTCTATTTTGTTATTCCTTTCTTCTTTATTTTTCTTTTTGTGATATGTTTGGTTTGTGGCGCGCTAAGAGAATGAAAATTTCGCTCAGTTGCAGTTGGGGGAACAAAAAATGTCGGGCCAAATATCTATTTCGATTGTGGGCGAGGGGCGCGCCAGGAGTGGGGGCCGGCACAGATTTATGCCCCACATACTGCGTTTGCAAATTGAAAATGCGTTTGCTGCAGTCGAATATTTATTTTAATAGACAACACACAAAATAACACACACACACACACACACACAGAAAAATACCTTCGAGCGCAAATTTAAAATACAAATATACAAATAAATATATTATTGTTTCTTTTTTATTATATCTATTTATGATTTGTTTTTGTTTTTGTGAACATTAAATAAACATATTTGTCTAGAGTTTTATTGAATTTGCACAGACTAAATAGTTCAATTATTAGAAATTTCATATTCGTTTCATTTTTCTATTTTCATTGCAATTTTTGTATTTTTAGAATTCAATTAGATTTTTATTAAATTGCAGAAAAATTTTAAACTGAGAATTTCTGCTGAAATATTGTTGTGCGTCTATTATATAAGTGGAGGTAATATAAAGAACTGATTTAGTTCGATAGCAGCCAAAAATAAAATGAATCAATTTATTAAATATTTATTTAAAGTTTTTATATGAATTTCTTATTCAATCCTAGCTAGGCAGCTCATTAAGTTAAAGCTCAAATTTACATTTACATTTTCATTAAATTTAATGCGTTATGAGCTATGATAAGCGATATGAAACTGGAAGCACTTGAGGTTTATTTAAGCAGAGCGTTCAAAGTTTCTTGTCTGTGGCAAATCGACTTGGCAGCCCGCAACCGCAATTAAGCATGACAATTTATGACTGAATACGAGCAACTATACACGTATATGCATATATGTGCATATGTATGCAATATAATAAATGACCCGAGAGCGCGGCATGCAGCACAGTCAGAGGAGCCCATCTGATGAGCCGATGAACCGTTCCGGCTAACGAAGTCAACGGGAAAATGCGTTTAATGCAATTGACCAGAGCTATCCAAATTATATGACACAAATGAAATGAGTGTCGCACAGACATACATTTACATATGTATATGTATATGTAATGTACATGTATATGTACATCTGTGTATCTGTTTGGATGCTTGTCTGCAGCACATAAATTAAGCGAAATTGAAGTTGTCACATGAATTATATATTGCAAATATCATTTGTGTAAATGCAGAAGGGAATCGATTTTTTAAAAAACAATGTAAGCATGGCATACTTGGGGGCGCTGGGCGTGATGTGAGAGAGCCAAGTTAACAGCGCCTGACAGCACAATAAAACTTGGCACAAATGTCGACGTTTCTGCATTAAAAGCAAAATCCTGTTGAAAATGTTGCGCAATAAACAAACAATTGATCCGGGACTTAAGCACAAGCGACGTCATGTGCGTGTGTATGTGTGTGTGTGCGAATGTGTGCAAGTGTGTGTGCTTTGCTGGCAACAAATGTTAAATCATGGCATTAGCTGCTTTTGCCATAGCCATTTCACGCTACAATCAACAGCCAGCCAGATGGGCCAGGCTGGCAGCTGACCAGAACGGACGGGCTTGCTGCCAGAGAAGAGTGCGAAGAGTGCTTAAGCCATTTTGCAATTGCCTTCGAGCCGGCCCACAATTTGTATGGCTTTCAATTAACGCTTCCAGCCAGCATTTCACATTTCACAGCGGCGCAGTCCTCGATGAAAGATGCAGCCAAAAGCAAGCGCACAAATAAAATATTGGCAGGGAAACAATAATAACAGCCAGAGTAGCAATAAGAAGAGCACAGCTTGATTGGAGTTTGTGCTAAGAAATACCCTGTAGAGCTGCATAGGTGCCATATTAACAAGCAGTTGAAAGTATTCATAAAGTGTTGCAGATCAGAGAGTTGATAAAGAATTTGTCTCTTGACTAAATCAGAAAATTTCTTCGATTTGATACTAGATTTTTCATTTGAGCAGAATTATTGATATAAGCCCTACATAGGTTAAGCTAAATAGGTTGCGTTTAATTGTATCAAAATCTGCATAATTCTTTAAGCTTAAGCTTAAGCTGCCCAGCTCGTCTCATCAAATCCTTCTTCATTCATTTGATTACTCCAGGGTATATAAAAAATCGATAGCTATTTAACAACGACCGCAACGTCTGGGGCAGGACTTGGCTGCCGTTCACACACACACACACACACACTCATACTCACACTCACACACCCACAAACACACTCACACTCACTCACATTGAACAGTGTTGGGAAACGGCATTGTATGCATGCAATGCCCGCATCACACACGATTCCTGTGACGGACATCGCTAATTTGTGCATGAAATACAGCCGCAAAACGTATTTTTATGCAACTTACGAATATGTTACGATGTTGTGCTGTTGCCCGAAATTATGTGCATATCAATGGCAGTGATTCCACACATTTATATAGAACATATGTATATCGAATGCATACTTAATTCGGGCAGCAAAATTATTCAGCCAATGAAGCGCATTTCTATGACATCTGGCCATGTACGATTATTTACTTAACGCATTACAATAAAACTGATTAGGGATCAGCTCTGTAAACGTCGATTTGGGTCTCGTGTGTTTGCGCTCCACTCAACTGGCCCAAACTGGAAACCAATTGTGCTTGCCAGAGCTCTGCAATATTTGCATTTGGTTAGTTTGGCTATGCAAATGCAGTCATGCCAACGGCAGAGAGGGGTGCGGCATTTGGTGTTTATGTGCAAACAGAAAACATTTTGCAGCTGTCCAAAAATTAGCTGACAAGCGCCCAGCCACCCAATCGCCCAGTCGTCCAACTCCACGGACAGTTTACGTCAAATTGTAGCTTCATTATTGCGCATACGCAGTGTGTTACGCACAAATTAGCTGCGCTATAAATAGAGCACGGCGTGGCAGGCAAATACAAATACGAATACACGCACAACCTTTTTGCACTAAAAATAGATTTGAGTATGAGCCAAGTCAATATGAATATATCAGCGCGTGCATTTCACGGCTCTGCCCGGGACAAATCATTTTTTAATTCAATTTTAAATCTGTTTTATTTTCTCGTTCAGCTTTCACAGTTAATGGACTACATCATTTATGCCGTATAACTTTATTATAATTACATATATATATTCTGATTTGTTCTGTGAGTTTGTGACGTAATAAATAAAGATTGGCATCAAATTACTTTTTTTTTTTTTTTTTCTCTTGCTAATGAGCAATTCAGTTGACAGAAATCAATTTGCGAAAAATCAAAAAAAGTTTCTTTCACTAATTGACAATAAGTAATATTGGAATCGAAATGAAAATGAGCAGCTTATATACCTATATATGTACATATATCTATATATATGTAACTATCATCTGCCTCAAAGACAGGCAATTGCATTTATGTATAGCCTACAACGTGACTTTAAAGTCGCGCCTTAATGGCTGCCACACATGCAACATGCATGTTAAACAGCAAGCCGCAATGACGTCATTATCATTGGCAGCAAGTGTCACTTGGGCAAGTGGACAGCAATGAGAGACCAAGATAGCCACAGCCACAGTCAGAGCCACAACCAGAGCCACAGCCAATGACCCACTCAAAGTGTCATTTCACTTGAAGCCGTGTTGCCAGCTCAAGCAGCCAGCGGGTCGGCGGGTCGGCGGTTCGGCGGGCCAACGAGTAGTTGGCCAACTTAATTAATATTGTGAAGGATGCCGCAAAGCATTTGCTCGCCGCCTCTCTCTATCTATCTATCTCCCTCTATCTCTCTCGCTCTCTGTCAGCCTGTCGCCCACTTGCATGCCGTTAAGTGCAATTATAAATACTCATCATTCCGCCTTCAAGTGGAAGCGGAAGTGGCCAAAGGAACTGAGCAGCAAAAATAATGTGTAAAATACTTCTTGCAACAAAATAACAAAAGGAAAAATCAATAAACGACGAGGCGAGCCGCAGGCAAAAGATAGTCCATACACAGATGTACATAGAAATACATACATATTTATGTATGTGTGTGTGTGAGCTAGAAATGTGCTGACAAATACAAATACACACACACATACATACATTCACTGAGTAACTGAAAAGTCGCACGCTGCGGGCTAGCAGTTCAGTGAAAAAGAGGGAAAACCTTTTACATTTTTTTTTATTATTATTTTCCTTTGGCATTTCTTAAGCGCCTGTGGGCTATTGGCACATGACCTTGCCCCAAACAGCCTGACAGACGCTTTGATGAGTTGTCAACGTATTTGGCAGAGTGTGTGTGCACGTGTGTGTGTGCTCTCTCTCTCTCTTTTTCTCTTTGGGTGTTTGTTGCCCTTTGGGACTTGGCATACTTATTGGGGCGCAAAGTGTTGCATAATATTTGCGCTAGCGCAAATGGCCAACAATTTACAATGACACTTGGCATCCGGCGTAAACACATCATTTCACTCGGCCCAAAAGTTGCAAATAAAATAAATTTACTTAACATGAACAAGTGAAGCACTGCACTGAATAACCCAACAGTAAATGTCATAAATTTTCAATGGCCAAACAATTGAATGTAATTAAATGCATTTCGATCAATTTGGGTGCAAGGCTGCTTTTACTCTTCAATCGGCAACTATTGAGAGCAACAGCTCGGTCTCCCTCGCGTCCAGCTCGATTTGCCCCAGTCGGACATAAATCAGCATTGGCCCCAAACACCCCAACCACACAGCAATCACATTATTAATTAGCCGCTCGGCACTCGATTGCCTCGATGTGCACACCTAGCATTATCTTGTTATATATCGCTTATGAATGTCCACAGCTCGATTGGACAATTGGGCAGGAGAATTTAATTACTCGTGTATATGGCCGTAATCATATGGCTCAATGGCTGCAGTCAAGCTCTATGAGCGATTGGCATATGTGAATCGATTCATGCTTCAAATTTCACTTCATTCAAACTGGCATTTGCTAAGAAAGGCAC